AAGCTCAAATATGTGACTATATGACTTAATATCATTTATTTCACATTATTTGTGTCAATTCTTACAAAAAAGTTCCACAATATTAAAGATACCGAATTATTTTTATATGAAAGTTTGGAGAAAATATTTTTTTTATAATGCTCATGTGACTTTATAACTAAATATCATTTTCTTCATATTGTTTGTGTCAAATCCTTACAAAAAGTTCGATAATATTACATACATATATCGAAATATTTTTATAGGAAAGTTTGGAGAAAATATTTTTTTTATAATGCTCAAATATTATGTGACTTTATAATTTAATATCATTTATTTCACATTATTTGTGTGAATTCTTACAAAAAAGTTCCACAATATTAAAGATACCGAATTATTTTTATATGAAAGTTTGGAGAAAATATTTTTTTTATAATGCTCATGTGACTTAATAACTAAATATCATTTTTTTCACATTATTTGTGTCAAATTTTTACAAAAAAGTTCCACAATATTAAAGATATCAAAATATTTTTCTCTGAAAGCTTGGAGAAAATATTTTTTTATAATGCTCAAATATTAGACTTTATAACTTTATATAAATTTTTTATAAAGCTTAAATATGTGACTATATGACTTAATATCATTTATTTCACATTATTTGTGTCAATTCTTACAAAAAAGTTCCACAATATTAAAGATACCGAATTATTTTTATATGAAAGTTTGGAGAAAATATTTTTTTTATAATGCCCATGTGACTTAATAACTAAATATCATTTTTTTCACATTATTTGTGTCAAATTTTTACAAAAAAGTTCCACAATATTAAAGATATCAAAATATTTTTCTCTGAAAGCTTGGAGAAAATATTTTTTTATAATGCTCAAATATTATTTGACTTTATAACTTTATATATTTTTTTTATAAAGCTCAAATATGTGACTATATGACTTAATATCATTTATTTCAGATTATTTGTGTCAATTCTTACAAAAAAGTTCCACAATATTAAAGATACCGAATTATTTTTATATGAAAGTTTGGAGAAAATATTTTTTTTATAATGCTCATGTGACTTTATAACTAAATATCATTTTTTTCACATTATTTGTGTCAAATTTTTACAAAAAAGTTCTACAATATTAAAGATATCAAAATATTTTTCTATGAAAGCTTGGAGAAAATATTCTTTTAATAATGCTCAAATATTATTTGACTTTATAACTTTATATATATTTTTTATAAAGCTCAAATATGTGACTATATGACTTAATATCATTTATTTCACATTATTTGTGTCAATTCTTACAAAAAAGTTCCACAATATTAAAGATACCGAATTATTTTTATATGAAAGTTTGGAGAAAATATTTTTTTTATAATGCTCATGTGACTTTATAACTAAATATCATTTTCTTCATATTGTTTGTGTCAAATCCTTACAAAAAGTTCGATAATATTACATACATATATCGAAATATTTTTATAGGAAAGTTTGGAGAAAATATTTTTTTTATAATGCTCAAATATTATGTGACTTTATAATTTAATATCATTTATTTCACATTATTTGTGTGAATTCTTACAAAAAAGTTCCACAATATTAAAGATACCGAATTATTTTTATATGAAAGTTTGGAGAAAATATTTTTTTTATAATGCTCATGTGACTTAATAACTAAATATCATTTTTTTCACATTATTTGTGTCAAATTTTTACAAAAAAGTTCCACAATATTAAAGATATCAAAATATTTTTCTCTGAAAGCTTGGAGAAAATATTTTTTTATAATGCTCAAATATTAGACTTTATAACTTTATATAAATTTTTTATAAAGCTTAAATATGTGACTATATGACTTAATATCATTTATTTCACATTATTTGTGTCAATTCTTACAAAAAAGTTCCACAATATTAAAGATACCGAATTATTTTTATATGAAAGTTTGGAGAAAATATTTTTTTTATAATGCCCATGTGACTTAATAACTAAATATCATTTTTTTCACATTATTTGTGTCAAATTTTTACAAAAAAGTTCCACAATATTAAAGATATCAAAATATTTTTCTCTGAAAGCTTGGAGAAAATATTTTTTTATAATGCTCAAATATTATTTGACTTTATAACTTTATATATATTTTTTATAAAGCTCAAATATGTGACTATATGACTTAATATCATTTATTTCACATTATTTGTGTCAATTCTTACAAAAAAGTTCCACAATATTAAAGATACCGAATTATTTTTATATGAAAGTTTGGAGAAAATATTTTTTTTATAATGCTCATGTGACTTTATAACTAAATATCATTTTCTTCATATTGTTTGTGTCAAATCCTTACAAAAAGTTCGATAATATTACATACATATATCGAAATATTTTTATAGGAAAGTTTGGAGAAAATATTTTTTTTATAATGCTCAAATATTATGTGACTTTATAATTTAATATCATTTATTTCACATTATTTGTGTCAATTCTTACAAAAAAGTTCCACAATATTAAAGATACCGAATTATTTTTATATGAAAGTTTGGAGAAAATATTTTTTTTATAATGCTCATGTGACTTAATAACTAAATATCATTTTTTTCACATTATTTGTGTCAAATTTTTACAAAAAAGTTCCACAATATTAAAGATATCAAAATATTTTTCTCTGAAAGCTTGGAGAAAATATTTTTTTATAATGCTCAAATATTATTTGACTTTATAACTTTATATATTTTTTTTATAAAGCTCAAATATGTGACTATATGACTTAATATCATTTATTTCAGATTATTTGTGTCAATTCTTACAAAAAAGTTCCACAATATTAAAGATACCGAATTATTTTTATATGAAAGTTTGGAGAAAATATTTTTTTTATAATGCTCATGTGACTTTATAACTAAATATCATTTTTTTCACATTATTTGTGTCAAATTTTTACAAAAAAGTTCCACAATATTAAAGATATCAAAATATTTTTTTCTGAAAGCTTGGAGAAAATATTTTTTTATAATGCCCAAATATTATTTGACTTTATAACTTATATATATTTTTTATAAAGCTCAAATATGTGACTATATGACTTAATGTTATTTATTTCACATTATTTGTGTCAATTCTTACAAAAAAGTTCCACAATATTTAAGATACCGAATTATTTTTATATGAAAGTTTGGAGAAAATATTTTTTTTATAATGCTCATGTGACTTTATAACTAAATATCATTTTCTTCATATTGTTTGTGTCAAATCCTTACAAAAAGTTCGATAATATTACATACATATATCGAAATATTTTTATAGGAAAGTTTGGAGAAAATATTTTTTTTATAATGCTCAAATATTATGTGACTTTATAATTTATTATCATTTATTTCACATTATTTGTGTTAAATTCTTACAAAAAAGTTAAACAATATTTCTTTTTAATTTTGTTAAACGAAAGGACATTTCCAGAAACTTTTAAATTAGCTGTCAAAGAAGGTTATTTAACCGGAAAATTATTGGAAAAACATTTTAAAAACGCATTTTTCATAAATTTTTGTAAAAACCGAAAATTTTCAAGGGTTTTATTTAATCAAACCCCTCACAATGTGTCTCGTCGAGCCTAACAATTTTTCTTAAGGTATTTTTATATAAACAATATAAAGAAATAGTGTTCAGTTTATTTTTTGACTTCCCTTGTATGCTGTAAGAGAAAATTTAAATAAAATACGTAACTATTGGAATTCAGTTATAATTGAAACTTTTATCAAGAATAACTTTTTATGAAAAATCCAAAATAAAAAAGTTTGTTATATGCTGTAAAGTTTTTGAGTCTCACTGTATATAATAACCCCTAGTGTTATAAGCTGGATATGAATAGAACTTTAGAGTATATTTTTTAATAAAGCTTAAATATTATATGACTTTATAACTTATTATCATTTTCTTCACATTATTTGTGTCAAATTCTTACAAAAAAGTTCCACAATATTAAAAATATTGAGATATTTTTCTATGAAAGTTTGGAGAAAATATTTTTTATAACTCTCAAATAATATGTGATTTTATAACTTAATATAATTTATTTTCACATTATTTGTATAAAATTCTCACAAAAAAATTTCACAATATTAAAGATATCGAAATATTTTTATAGGAAAGTTTGGAGAAAATCATTTTTTACAAGGCTCAAACATTATGCGACATTATAGCTTAATACCGTTTTTTTTTTCGTATTATTTATCTCAAATTATTACAAAAAAGTACTAAAATATTAAAAATAACGAAATATTTTTAAAAAAAGACGGAAAATTCGGTAAAGAAAAAAGTATATTCTTTTTATTTTGGTCAAACGAAAGGAAATTTCTAGAATAACACTTTACCGTAGTTAAATTTAAAATTTTCCTATATTATTTGGTAGGATGATTTTAAAAACGCATTTACCTTATTTTTTTTTATAAATTTCTTAAGGAATTTTATAAAAACAAATAATATTCAATTTTTTTTGACTTCTCTCGTATGCTGTAAGAAAAAATTTAAATGTAATACGTAACTATTGGAATTCAGTTATAGGTCAAACTTTTATCAAGAATAACTTTTAATGAAAAATCCAAAATAAAAAAATTTGTTATATGCTGTAAAGTTTTTGAGTCTCACTGTATATAATAACCCCTGGTGTTATAAGCTGGATATGAATAGAAATTGAAAATAGCTGTAACTGAGACATATAAACAAATACAATGTATAATGTTATTGCTAAATGAATAGGTACTTCTGTTATATATATATATATATATATATATATATATATATATATATATATATATATATATATATATATATATATATATATATATATAACCTCTGTAAAAATTAATATTGTAGCTCCCTGAAGATGAACATAATCATGTTCGAAAGCTTGGAATAAATACTTAAAAGAGTACACAATTGTAAGATTTTTGCTGAAAATCCCAAGATTCCTTAGTTTATATATATATATATATATATATATGTGAAATTTGAGTTACAGGCCTCTATCTCGAGAACTTCATTAACGAAGACGTGGAAAACGTCACTCTGACAGTTTTAGAAGGGGAAATAGGTTACGAAGTAGAAGACGAATACAGCCTTCAATCTCTGGGTACCAAATTAAAAAATGGCGAATCGCTACCAGTGGACGTCGGGCATTTTCACAAAGTACACGTCCTAAGTGAGTCACCATCTTGTTATATGTACACGTTTGTCAGGAGGGAAAAAATTACCAAAGATGACAGTAGTAATGAACGAAAACGGTTTATGTACTCTCCCTTTCCGTTGGTCGAGGATGTGTATGAGAGGGGAGAAAGGATGTTGTCAATGTGGAAACATATTGGGAGCGCTGTTTTGAATACGTTTTTCGGAATCCCTTATCGTATTAAAGTAAATAGTGAAAAGTATTTTTTTTGTTTTATTACGGCAGGCTCCTTGCAATCCAGCTTTGGTCCCATCCTGACTCCCACTAATCATGCTTTTCACCTCTTGTAAAAATAAAACTCTTGAAAGGTAATGATCGATATGGATTCAGAAAAATATTGTTATGAATATTGATATTTTTGGTATATTTTCCAAATAAAATACTAAATTTTCAGTAATTTTTTTAACTTAATTATTTATGAAAGTTTGGAGAAAATATTTTTGGTATATTTTCCAAATAAAACACTAAATTTTCAGTAATTTTTTTAACTTAATTATTTATGAAAGTTTGGAGAAAATATTTTTGGTATATTTTCTAAATAAAACACTAAAAATTTTCAGTCATTTTTTAATTTAATTTCTTATAAAAGTTTGGAAAAAAATAGTTTTGGTATATTTTCCAAATAAAAGACTAAATTTTCAGTAATTTTTTAATTTAATTATTTATAAAAGTTTGGAGAAAATATTTTTGGTATATTTTTCAAATAAAACACTAAATGTCCATAATTTTTTTAATTATTTATTAAAGTTTGGAGAAAATATTTTTGGTATATTTTCTAAATAAAACACTAAATTTTCAGTCATTTTTTAATATAATTATTTATGAAAGTTTGGAGAAAGTATTTTTGGTATATTTTCCAAATAAAACACAATTTTCAGTCATATTTTAATTTAATGTTTTATGAAAGTGTGCAGAAAATATTTTTGGTATATTTTCCAAATAAAAGACTAAATTTTCAGTAATTTTTTAATTTAATTATTTATGAAAGTTTGGAGAAAATATTTTTGGTATATTTTCCAAATAAAACACTAAATTTTCAGTCATTTTTTAATATAATTATTTATGAAAGTTTGGAGAAAGTATTTTTGGTATATTTTCCAAATAAAACACAATTTTCAGTCATATTTTAATTTAATGTTTTATGAAAGTGTGCAGAAAATATTTTTGGTATATTTTCCAAATAAAAGACTAAATTTTCAGTAATTTTTTAATTTAATTATTTATGAAAGTTTGGAGAAAATATTTTTGGTATATTTTCCAAATAAAACACTAAATTTTCAGTCATTTTTTAATATAATTATTTATGAAAGTTTGGATAAAGTATTTTTGGTATATTTTCCAAATAAAACACTAAATGTCCATCATTTTTTTATTTAATTATTTACGAAAGTTTGGAGAAAATATTTTTGTTATATTTTCCAAATAATAGTCCAGGGAAGTTAGGAAAAATAGCGGAAATTTTTAGGGACAGCAGATATCGAGATGCGATTTTCTGCGTTGTGTTCAGGAAGGTTCCAGGAAAAAAGTCTATATCGTCTGGTTTGGCCATTTTTTAAAAAATTCCTTCTGGGCCGGAAATGCATTTTCCAATTGCATTACTTGTACCATTATAGGAACGATTGGAAATTCAGCAAACTCGCTTGGAAATCGTTACTCGGGGGGTTTTCGGGGCTGCCGAACTCGATTGTAGCATTATAATTACCCGTAGGTGAACGGGGGTGGCTCTGTGGGGGGTGCGCGGGCGGTGAATTAGGGAAGAAATGACAACATGCATGAAAATCGCTCCAAACTCATTACTCGGGGATTTTCGGGGATGCCGAATTCAATTCTGGCATTGGAATTACCCGGGGGCGGCTCTGCGGGGGGTATCCGGGGGTCATTCTAGGGGGGAAATTGCATAGTCGATGAGAAGCGCTGAAATTCTGGTATTAGATTTCCCCGGGGATAGCTTTGTGGGAAATGGTAAAGGAGAAATTGAAAAATCGAAAATTATGAAAATAATACTTTATTCAAATAACAAATAGGACTTTTTATTAATGTTGAATTATTCATTACAAACCTAAATTTTTAACTTAAATACTAAACATCTTGTTCAAACTCTTCTTCTTCTTTCCCTTCATCTTCGACCCCTTCTTCATCTTTTTTCTCGTCACTATTCTCGGCTCCGTTGGAAGTGCCTTTTTGGTTTGAGCAATTGAGGAATCTTTGCATAAACTCCAGTTGTCAATAAATTTAAGTTCTGTGGAATTTGATGAAAACTACTATTGACATATTATAAGGTTTATGAAAAATGGTCGATATTAACCGTTCATATCTTTAACTACCGACGATTTTGCGGATTTTCTTCACGTAAGGGACATAGATACTTATGTTATAAACCCATAGGTGTCATAACATAAAATTTCTGAAAAGAAGACGTGTGGTTTTTGCAAAACACGCCTCAATTGCCATCGCAATGCTTGCATGCAAGTGAGCACTCCAACCCACTCTGGACCGGCTTTTTGGATCATGGTGACAGGACTGAGGTCTCCATCCACCAATTCCTACCCCCATTCCAACGGATCTAAGGTCTCGTCTTGACCTTGTGAACCATAAAAAGCCCGTACTTAGAAATAGACACGCTTGATATTTTTTTTTTTTTAGAATTTATTGACAAAATATAAATACAATAATTACAGTAAAGTTTGAAAACATTTAACATTTGACAAGGAGCCCTAGAATAAGCATCTTGCCTAGGCTGTATAGCCTGTGTTGCTATTGTGCTCATTCTAGGTCTCCTTTTTAAAATTGTATTATAATATATAATATAATATAAATGGTAAGCATAAAAAAAAAATAAACAAAAATTGGAATAATAATGAAGATGATGTATTGGGATTTGGCAGATACAGTGCCAGACTTATTGATGTTGAATTGGTTAATGCTTGAGGAATCGCAGGGCATGTTTGACATTATCGGTATATATATATATTTTTTTTTTTTTTAATTTGAATAGGACAATGAATCAGAATAAAAATTTACTATTGTGAGATAGAATATATTTCTTTACTTCGGTTTTAAATATATGTTCTTTAGCGTATTGTTTTATATTTATAGGTTAACACATTGGCAGTCGGGATTATGCGTGCAAGATCGACTTTTTTAGAATTGGTGGCTTCAGCATACATTTTTGCTCGATAGCTAGAAAGACGAGCTCAATCGCAGGTTTATCCCTCGTGTGCACATCTTTGGGTGCCCCGTAAAGAGCCGAAGCTAGACGAAGCTTTTGATCTATTAAATTATACATGGATACTTTTGTTTGCTTAAATATATCTGCAAACCCATGTAAATCATCGGATTTCTTAAACAAATCGTAGATTTTTACTTTCCCTCGATAGCACCTAGAAATAATATATGAAACCTGATGCACGCGCTTCTGGGTGTTAAGCTCTCGGAAGAATACACACCATCAGGTACTCTAGCAGAAGGCGGCTTCAGCAAGAATACTTCTAGATTCGGTGCAGCAAGCATTGTTAAGACTTCAGTGTCTTCCGAAACAATAACCACTTCATTGTTGCGGTTTCCAGAAGCAGTCTCAATGGCCTTGAGCACAATATCAACATCCGCATCAGCTACACTCTGCTGAGACATTATATTAGCCTGTTTCAATTCCTCCTGAAGAATTTTATTGAGCTGGGACTTATTTTTGTTATTCTCTAGTGTAATGTATTCAACCGAAAGGGCCTTATATATCAACCCAAACATTACCCCCTCTTCCGCTACCGGTTTGAATTGGCAGGTGTATGCCAACGACCCAATGACCCACTTTCGATGTACCACACATATCGAGAAGGTCACGCATTACTATTGTAATTGAGGTTATGTTGTGTAGTTCGGCTTCCGGCATTTACAATAAATACAGTAATTATTGGAGTTAAACGAAGTTTTATTTCGATGCCTAGTAGATAGGGACGAACATCACATCTTGAAACTTGTCTTGAGTTACACTTGCGGGCAACGTCATGACCGTCCAGGAGTCTGCATACATCGCCGGTTTCTTTCCGTTGATTTAGTGGTAATTTGGTCGTATCCATCGAAAAAAAAAAAAAAACAAAAAGTCTGTTGCCAAATACTCTCTTTATGTATCTAACATATCCATTGTATATCTCTAACATGTTCTGGCCCTTTTTCCTTTTAACTTTATGTAGAAGCATGCCTCCATCAATAACATATTGCGTGTCTTCACTTCTTACACTTACAGATCTTTCTTTAAAAAGTTAATATAATTTTGATTTTTCAATTTTTCTCATTTCGTTCTTATCATACATAGCCGGGGGATAAGCCGCCAATTCGAATGTTAAATAAAATTGCATACTTTCCGGCTTATTGAGTGTGAGAATTCTATGAAATAATATGATAGGATTTAGGTTAGAGCTTGTATTGGCCAACTTTAACAGTCCACTTCTCAAACCCGATGTAAGTAATTATTTTGGACAAAGAGAGTTTCAATTCTTTGAAGTTGCTTCCGAGAACCCCCAAATATCGATTTTGGAGTGATTTTTATGGACGCTGCCATTTTCCCCCAATCACCCCCAGACAACCCCACAGAGCCACCCCCGAGCGCCCCCGGGGAAATCTAATGCCAGAATTGAATTCGGCATCTCCGAAAACCCCCGAGTAACGTGTTTGAAGCACTTCCCATGGACTAGACAATTTCCCCCAGAATGACCCCCGGAGATAACCCCGCAGAGCCTCCCCCGGGTAATTCCAACGCCAGAATTGAATTCGGCATCCCCGAAAATCCCAGAATAACGAGTTTGGAGCGATTTTCATGCATGCTGCCATTTCTCCTCAATGCACCCCCCGCGCACCTCCCACAGAGCCATATCATTGCATAATTCTAATGCTAGAATCGAGTTCGGCAGCCCCGAAAACCGCCAAGTAACGATTTTCGAGCGATTTTTCCGAGTTTCCAGTCGTTCTTATAATGGTGCAATAATGATGCAATTGGAAAATGCATTTTCCGGCTTAGAAGACACATTTCAAACAAGTATTAGAAACTTAAAATTAAAAAAAACCGACTTCAAAAAACATGCAGAAGCCATCACCACATCTTAACCAAATTTATATGGGACCACCCCTGAGGTACCCCCTTACTAACAAAAAAGAATCATATAAATCGGACAAGGTGGTAAAGCATTATCGCTAAACATATATAAAAAATGAAGAGTTTGAAAATTTTCTCATGGACCCTATTATTAAATTTTGACCCAAATTATATGGAACCACCCCTGAAGTACCCCCTTTCTAACAAAAAAGAATTATTGAAATCGGACACCGTGTTAAAGAATTATCGCTGAACATACATTAAAAAAAATATCGCGACGAATTGATAACCTGCTCCTTTTTTGAAGTCGGTTAAAAATGGCCAAACCCGACGATATAGACTTTTTTCCTGGGATCTTCCTGAACACAATGCAGAAAACCGCATCTCGATATCTGCTGTCCCTAAAAATTTCCGCTATTCCGGTCGATTTTGATCTAAATGCCCTGGACTATAAAACACTAAATTTTCATTCATTTTTTAATTTAATTTATTATGAAAGTTTAGAGAAAATATTTTCTAAATAAAACACTAAATTTTCAGTCATTTTTAAATTTAATTCTTTATGAAAGTTTGGAGAAAATATTTTTGGTATATTTTCCAAATAAAACAAAAATTTTAGTCATTTTTTAATTTAATTATTTATGAAAGTTTGGAGAAAATATTTTTGGTATATTTTCCAAATAAAACACTAAATTCTCAGTCATTTTATTAATTTAATTTTTTATGAAAGTTTGGAGAAAATATTTTTGGTATATTTTCCAAATAAAATAATAAATCCTGTCATTTTTTTAATTTTATTTTTTTTTGAAAGTTTGGAGAAAATATTTTTGGTATATTTTCCAAATAAAACACTAAATTCTCAGCCATTTTATTAATTTAATTTTTTGTGAAAGTTTGGAGAAAATATTTTTTGTATATTTTCCAAATAAAACAAAATTTTTAGTCATTTTTTAATTTAATTATTTATGAAAGTTTGGAGAAAATATTTTTGGTATATTTTCCAAATAAAACACTAAATTCTCAGCCATTTTATTAATTTAATTTTTTATGAAAGTTTGGAGAAAATATTTTTGGTATGTTTTCCAAATAAAATAATAAATTCTGTCATTTTTTTAATTTCATTTTTTATGAAAGCTTGGAGAAAATGTTTTTGGTATATTTTCCAAATAAAACACTAAATTTTCAGTCAGGTTTTAATTTAATTTCTTATAAAAGTTTGGAGAAAATATTTTTGGTGTATTTTCTAAATAAAACAACATATTTCACAGTAATTTTTTAATAAAAAATAATCTATATACAATAAACTAAATTTAAAGATAACAGTATTTACAAGAGTATTAAAAGATATATCAGTATTCAGTAAAGGAAAAAGACCGTATATTTCATAAAATCTTAAATGCATGGAATAAGCTGAATTTCTAAACAATCGATACTTTTATAAAATTTGAAAACGTTTAACAATAGCTTTTGAATCTTTATGTAGTCTTTAAGCTGTACTGAAAGTTTTTCGGAAGCAAAAATAGATGAGCTACAGTCTCATTTACATTTAGAAGAAAAATTTAAATTGGTGAAATTAATAGATAAGTTTCAGCCATGGACTGTAATTTTTATGGCCCAAATTTACACAGTAGGACATATAATCAATTTTGGTATTAAAAAATCATATAAAGCAAACATTAACTTTTTTATTCACAATCATTTAGAATTAAAGATTCGAAATATTAGTATAAGAAAGTGAAGAAATAGATAAAAAGACAAAATCTACTCGTACATTCAAATACTTTTTATAAGAAAGTTTGGAGAAAATATTATTTTTTATAATGCTTAAATATTATATTACTGAATAATTTAATTTCATTCTTTTTACATTATTTATGGCAAATTTTTATAAAAAAAAGTTCACAATAATAAAGATAACTAAATATTTTTAAATAAAAGTTTGAAGAAAGTTTCGCAATATTAAAGATATCGAAATATTTTTATAAAAAAGTTTGTAGAAAATATAATCTTTTATAATGCTCAATTATTATGTGACAATAATTTAATTACATTTTTTTTTACATTATTTATGTCAAATTTTAATAAAAAAAAGTTCACAATAATAAATATAACTAAATATTTTTAAATAAAAGTTTGAAGAAAATTTCGCAATATTAAAGATATCGAAATATTTTTATAAAAAAGTTTGTAGAAAATATAATCTTTTATAATGCTCAATTATTATGTGACTATAATTTAATTTCATTTTTTTTACATTATTTATGTCAAATTTTAATAAAAAAAAGTTCACAATAATAAATATAACTAAATATTTTTAAATAAAAGTTTGAAGAAAGTTTCGCAATATTAAAGATATCGAAATATTTTTATAAGAAAGTTTGGAGAAAATATAATCTTTTATAATGCTCAATTATTATGTGACAATAATTTAATTACATTTTTTTTACATTATTTATGTCAAATTTTAATAAAAAAAAGTTCACAATAATAAATATAATTAAATATTTTTAAATAAAAGTTTGAAGAAAGTTTCGCAATATTAAAGATATCGAAATATTTTTATAAGAAAGTTTGGAGAAAATATAATCTTTTATAATGCTCAATTATTATGTGACAATAATTTAATTACATTTTTTTTTTACATTATTTATGTCAAATTTTAATAAAAAAAAGTTCACAATAATAAATATAACTAAATATTTTTAAATAAAAGTTTGAAGAAAGTTTCGCAATATTAAAGATATTGAAATATTTTTATAAAAAAGTTTGTAGAAAATATAATCTTTTATAATGCTCAATTATGTGATTTTATAATTCAATTTTATTCTTTTTACATTATTTACGTCAAATTTTTATAAAATAAGTTCACAATAATAAATATAACTAAATATTTTTAAATAAAAGTTTGAAGAAAGTTTCGCAATATTAAAGATATCGAAATATTTTTATAAGAAAGTTTGGAGAAAATATAATCTTTTATAATGCTCAATTATTATGTGACAATAATTTAATTACATTTTTTTTTACATTATTTATGTCAAATTTTAATAAAAAAAAGTTCACAATAATAAATATAACTAAATATTTTTAAATAAAAGTTTGAAGAAAGTTTCGCAATATTAAAGATATCGAAATATTTTTATAAGAAAGTTTGGAGAAAATATAATCTTTTATAATGCTCAATTATTATGTGACAATAATTTAATTACATTTTTTTTTACATTATTTATGTCAAATTTTAATAAAAAAAAGTTCACAATAATAAATATAACTAAATATTTTTAGATAAAAGTTTGAAGAAAGTTTCGCAATATTAAAGATATCGAAATATTTTTATAAGAAAGTTTGGAGAAAATATAATCTTTTATAATGCTCAATTATTATGTGATTTTATAATTCAATTTTATTCTTTTTACATTATTTACGTCAAATTTTTATAAAATAAGTTCACAATAATAAAGATAACTAAACATTTTTAAATAAAAGTTTGAAGAAAGTTTCGCAATATTAAAGATATCGAAATATTTTTATAAGAAAGTTTGGAGAAAATATAATCTTTTATAATGCTCAATTATTATGTGACAATAATTTAATTACATTTTTTTTTACATTATTTATGTCAAATTTTAATAAAAAAAAGTTCACAATAATAAATATAACTAAATATTTTTAAATAAAAGTTTGAAGAAAGTTTCGCAATATTAAAGATATCGAAATATTTTTATACGAAAGTTTGGAGAAAACATTTTTTTCATAATGCTCAAATATTAGGTGACTTTATAACGTAATTTCATTCTTTTTACATTATTTAGGTAAATTTCTTAAAAAACAGGTCAACAATATTAAAGATATCGAAAAAATATTCCATAAAAGTTTGAAGAAAGTTCCACAATATTAAAGATATTGAAATATTTTTTTACGAAACTTTGGAGATAATATTTTTTTATAATGCCCAAATATTATGTGGCTTCATAACTTAATAGCATTTTTTTACATAATTTTTCTCAAATTCTTACAAAAAAGTTCCACAATATGAAAGATATCGAAATGTTTTTATAAGAAAGTTTGTAGAAAATATTTTTTTTAATTCTCAAATATTATGTGGACACTATAAATATTATTTTTATATGAAAGTATGGAGAAAATAATATGTGACGTCATCGCTAACTTCTACTCTCAAGAAAAGTTTTCACAATACTAAATACATAAAAATATCTTTTAAAAAAAAAAAGTTAGGAGAAAATATTTTTTTTATGAGCGATTTATTTATATTATGGGATTTTATAGATTTAATTTTTTCTCAATTTTATTGAAAGTTATAATACAATATTATGCCACTTCTTAATTGGAAATCCATAATTTCTTGTGTGAAATTTAGAGTACTTCAATAATTTGGGATATTTACTTCTGATGGTTAAATTTTTTACCTCTCAGTAGAACAGCTTCATACCTTTCCAGTTTTTTAAAAATTAGTAAAAAATTGTAATATAGAAGCGCATTGAGCATGTGAATATATAAAAGCAGAGAAATCAAATTTGATCTGGGATGTAACTGGGAAATATTCCTAAACTAATTATCATTAGTTATAACAAACTCTTTAAAAATATTTAAAATCACTCTCACTAGATTATAGTATAAAAATTTCTAAAACTAAACGATTGTGAATAGAACAGTTATTTCATATTGACTTCTGAACCTGAGAGCATATAAAACCACTTCCTCATTCGAACCTTTTTAAGTACTTTGACAAACCTTTCACCAATTCCAATTTTCGAAATACAATTCTCTAAATTACTCAAAGGAAAGTCTTAATTTTTCTCAGATATAGTTCCTAAGGTAGTGGTCACGGGTTTATCTGGTTTGTCTTCCGATCCGAAACTGGCTAAAGGGTTTACAGTGATATTGGGCCGAGAATTTGCTGATCCTTCGAGGAAAAACGTTTCCATGGTACCTTTACCTTTGACTTTGATGGTACCGCGACATCTGGTCGGGTAGCCTCTGGCTTGGAGGATCTGGTTCACTTCTTTCGTTATCTGTAAATTGAATATCGATATTAACGATAATTGATTTGATTTAGTTGAATCTAAAAGGTAAATGGTTCTAAGACTCTCAATAATCAGGCAGGAAATAGATGCAGGATCAAAGAAAATGCTTAAATATAAACCAGCAGGATGGAAATTTATGTTTCAGATTAAATTTAATTTATCCTAGACTACACTAATTTTTCCTCTGTAATAAATAAAAATCAGCTCTTTCCTTTTACATCCCTAGTAGATAGACAAAGCTACTACGGCCTCACATAGGGATTTCAATGTGTAAGAGTGAGAGGTACAGATTTAATGGGTAAGAGTGAGACATACGGTCTGAGGGGAAAACGGGGGAGTGAGGGAAGTGGAGGATTTAATTTCTATTAACGCTGAAAAAAAAATCATGCGTAGAACAAAGGCCAGAAGGGTCTAAGTTCCAATCTCTGGTCATATTCAAACTGGGAAAACGCAAGTATTTCGGTAATTATTAGTCGAATTTGAACGATGAAAACGGCATTATGTAGAGAACGTGGTATAGATTATAATACCATTTTCATCGTTTAAATTCGACTAATAATAACCGAAATACACGCTTGGGATATTTTGGCATTGCTATTGCGCAAATATTTGTTTAATCAGTGTTAATTTATATCAAATTCTCTACATAATAATTTAAAATCGACTAATACGAGGATGTATCAGAAAATAACGAGACTGGTGCTATAGTATAACAACGAAACATTTATTTAAAAAAATTCCACAACTATTCTTCGAAGTACTCTCCATTCTGTTGAATACACTTATTCCATCGCTTTATCCACTTATCATAAACTTCTGAGAAACCATTTTTTGATAGTATGTTTAGTATACCCATCACAGCGTTATTGAGCTCTAAATCCGACTCAAATCTTCTATCTCTCAATTCTTTTTTGACTTCAGGAAACAAATGGAAGTCACATGGAGCAAGGTCAGGAGAGTAGGGGGGATGAATTATAATTTCAACCCCTAATTCTTCAATTGTTCGTTGACAAATCATTGATCTATGAGCCGGAGCATTGTCGTGATGCAGCGTCCAGCCAAAGTCCTGATAAAGCGGCCTTTTTTCTTTAATTTTGCCATTGAGGGTCCTCGAAGTACATTAGAATAGTACTCCCCTGTTACTGTATGTCCTCTAGGTACAATGTGATCGTAAATAACGACAAATTTATCAAAAAAAATCAGGTGCATCACTTTACCAGCGCTTTTAGCAGTTTTGGCCTTCTGCGGTCTTGGGCTGCCTTTATGCTTCCATTGCATACTTTGAGACTTCAATTCAGGATCGTAATGATAAAACCAACTTTCGTCACATGTAACCACATTATTTAAAAACTGTGGGTTACGTTGCAATTGCCTTTTCCACTGCTGACAAATTGTCACTCGATTCGCTTTTTGTTCATCGGTCATCACTTTTGGAATCCATCTTGCCGCGATCTTCCGGTACTCTAAATCTTCATGAATAATTTTTTGAGTGGTACCGTAAGACAAATTAACATTGTCAGAAATTCGTTTTATGCCAATCCGGCGATCATTTTGTATCAAGTCGTTAATTTCTCGCAGTTTGTGGTCGACCGGGACGAGGTTCATCAACTGATTCACAACCGTCTTTAAACTTTTTATGCCACTCAAACACTCTACATCGTGATAAACTATTATCTAGATATGCACCTTTAATCATTTCAAAAGTTTCAGTTGGTGTTTTACCCAATCGAACACAAAATTTTATCGCGTATAAAGATACGCGATAAAATTTCATTTCATTTTTCGATGGGTACGCAAAACACTGACAATTCAATAATTAATTTGTAACAAATGTCAAAAGTTAAATCAAAGCCTACTTGCGGGGTAGTACATTAAATATAAGGCTTTCATGTCTCATTTTTTGGGTTATAAAATGTTACCTCTGAAAGAAGTTATAGCACCAGTCTCGTTATATACTGATATATCCTCGTAATTACCGAAATACACGCTTGGGACATTTTGGCATTGCTACTGCGCAAAAATTTTTTTAATCAGTGTTAATCTATACCATGTTCTCTACATAATACCGTTTTCATCGTTTAAATTGGAATAATAATAATAACCGAAATACACGCTTGGGACAGTTTGTCATTGCTACTGCGCAATTTTTTTTAATCAATCTTAATCTATACCACGTTCTCTACATAATACCGTTTTCATCGTTTAAATTAGACTAATAATAACTTAAATACACGCTTAGGACATTTTGGCATCGCTACTGCGCAAAAAATTTTTTAATCAATGTTAATCTATACTACGTTCTCTACATAATACCGTTTTTATCGTTTAAATTCGACAAATAATAACCGAAATACACGCTTGGGACCTTTTAAAATTGCTATTGCGCAAACATTTTTTTAATCAATGTTAATCTATATCACGTTCTCTACATAATACCGTTTTTACCGTTTAAATTGGACTAATAATAACCGAAATACATGCTTGGGACATTTTGTTATTGCTACTGCGCAAAATTTTTTATATCAATGTTAATCTATACTACGTTCTCTACATAATACCGATTTCATCGTTTAAATTGGACTAATAATAACCGAAATACACGCTTGGGACATTTTGGCATTGCTACTGCGAAAAATTTTTTTTTATTAATGTTTATTTATACCACGTTCTCTACATAATACCGTTTTTATCGTTTAAATTGGACTAATAATAACTTAAATACACGCTTGGGACATTTTGGCTTCGCTACTGCGCAAAATTTTTTTTAATCAATGTTAATCTATACTACGTTCTCTACATAATACCGTTTTCATCGTTTAAATTGGACAAATAATAATTTAAATACACGCTTGGGACATTTTGGCTTTGCTACTGCGCAAAATTTTTTTAATCAATGTTAATTTATACCACGTTCTCTACATAATACCGTTTTTATCGTTTAAATTCGACAAATAATAACCGAAATACACGCTTGGGACATTTTAAAATTGCTACTGCGCAAATTTTTTTTAATAAATGTAAATCTATACCACGTTCTCTACATAATACCGTTTTCATCGTTTAAATTGGACTAATAATAACCGAAATACACGCTTGGGGCATTTTGGCATTGCTACTGCGCAAAATTTTTTATATCATTGTTAATCTATACCACGTTCTCTACATAATACCGTTTTCATCGTTTAAATTGGACTAATAGTAACCGAAATACACGCTTGGGACATTTTGGCATTGTTACTGCGCAAATTTTTTTTAATCAATGTTAATTTATATCACGTTCTCTACATAATACCGTTTTTATCGTTTAAATTGGACAAATAATAACCGAAATACACGCTTGGGACATTTTAAAATTGCTACTGCGCAAACATTTTTTTAATCAATGTTAATCTATATCACGTTCTCTATATAATACCGTTTTCACCGTTCAAATTGGACTAATAATAACCGAAATACATGCTTGGGACATTTTGTTATTGCTACTGCGCAAATTTTTTTATATTAATGTTAATCTATACCACGGTCTCTACATAATACCGTTTTCATCGTTTAAATTGGACTAATAATAACCGAAATACACGCTTGGGACATTTTGGAATTGCTACTGCGCAAAAATTTTTTTTAATCAGTGTTAATCTATACCACGTTCTCTACATAATACCGTTTTCATCGTTTAAATTCGACAAACAATAACCAAAATACACGCTTGGGACATTTTAAAATTGCTACTGCGCAAACATTTTTTTAATCAGTGTTAATCTATATCACGTTCTCTACATAATACCGTTTTCATCGTTTAAATTGGACAAATAATAATTTAAATACACGGTTGGGACATTTTGGCATTGCTACTGCGCAAAATTTTTTTAATCAATGTTAATTTATACCACGTTCTCTACATAATACCGTTTTTAACGTTTAAATTCGACAAATAATAACCGAAATACACGCTTGGGACATTTTAAAATTGCTACTGCGCAAAAATTTTTTTAATGAATGTTAATCTATACCACGTTCTCTACATAATACCGTTTTCACCGTTTAAATTGGACTAATAATAACCGAAATACACGCTTGGGACATTTTGGCATTGCTACTGCGCAAAATTTTTTTAATCAATGTTAATTTATACCACGTTCTCTACATAATACCGTTTTTATCGTTTAAATTCGACAAATAATAACCGAAATACATGCTTGGGACATTTTAAAATTGCTACTGCGCAAAAATTTTTTTAATGAATGTTAATCTATACCACGTTCTCTACATAATACCGTTTTCACCGTTTAAATTGGACTAATAATAACCGAAATACACGCTTGGGACATTTTGGCATTGCTACTGCGCAAAATTTTTTTAATCAATGTTAATTTATACCACGTTCTCTACATAATACCGTTTTTATCGTTTAAATTCGACAAATAATAACCGAAATACACGCTTGGGACATTTTAAAATTGCTACTGCGCAAACATTTTTTTAATCACTGTTAATCTATACCACGTTCTCTACATAATACCGTTTTCATCGTTTAAATTGGACTAATAATAACCGAAATATACGCTTGGGACATTTTGACATTGTTACTGCGCAAAAATTTTTTAATCAATGTTTATTTATACCACGTTCTCTACATAATACCGTTTTCATCATTTAAATTGGACTAATAATAACCGAAATACACGCTTGGGACATTTTGGCATTGCTACTGCTCAAAAAAAATTTTAATCAATGTTTATTTATACCACGTTCTCTACATAATAGCGTTTTCATCGTTTAAATTCGACTAATAATAACCGAAATACACGCTTAGGACATTTTGACATGGCTACTGTGCAAATTTTTCTCTACATAATACCGTTTTCATCGATTAAATTCGACTAATAATAACCGAAATACACGCTTAGGTCCTTTTGGCATTGCTACTGCGCAAAATTTGTCTCTTCAGCGTTAATAGAAATTTAATTCCCCACTCGGTCGTTTTTGCCTCAGACCGTATGTCATACTCTTACCCATTGAATCTGTACCTCTCACTTTTACACAATAAATTTCCTATGTGAGGCTATAGTAGCTTTGTCTATCTACTATCCTTCATATCATTTGATTCGATGGAATCATCTCTTTCATAAATTTTTTGTTGCAAAATCCTAGACTAAACTTACGGTTGGATTTACCACTCAACCAATCTAATTTTTCCATATCAATATTCTCCATATTGATTTTTAAAGAAAAAAAGAATTTAAATGTCAACATAAAACAACAGTATGTAGGATATGTTCATCTTTGCCAAGACTTACTTGTATCTTATCCTGTATCCCTGTACTATCCATCCTGCTAGCAACGTTCACTGCATTTCCCCAAATATCGTATTGAGGTTTTCTAGCGCCTATCACCCCTGCTACTACTGGTCCTACGTTGATGCCTATTCTGATTCGAAAATGGTTGAAGGAATGTTCGTTGACTTCTTCGAGCAGTTCCTTTAACCTCAAAGCGTAGTCTGCCATGGCTGTTACGTGCTTGTAATCTAGCATATCACATGTGCTTTGGGTTAAACCTGAAAAGATGAAAACTACTAATAATAGTAATTAAAAAACTATGTAGAAAGTAGTAAACACCAATAATTCTTAAAAAAACACATTTGGTTTACATTTTCTTTGAGTATTGCCTATCTCTTTTCTTCAATGACAATTCTATGTCTCTCAGTCCAGAGACATTTACTTTTGTCACTTTTCTTTCTGAACTTGGTTTTGACTAACGTTTTGAATATATTAGTTTCTGTTAAATAGATATATTTAATTTTATTATTCAAAACGTTCGTCTCATCCGTCCTACCTATCCCATTATCCATTAAAAGGTCGAACTATTTTAGTGGTGCAACATATAAATGGTTTTATAGTTTTTTTTGGAAGAAAGATCTGGATTAAACGTTTCAAAACCATAAAAATATTCTGAGAAAATGAAATCTTACAAGAAAATAATAATACGAACTGAAAATACGTCAAGTATCCCCTTTGAATTAAGCGAATTATCTTTTATTTTCTCCTTTACACCTTCGTATATTGTTTGATAAAAGAGTCGAGTGAAATATCGCACGAAATAACAGATTTCGCTTTAATTACGGAATTTTCACTCGGACGGTTTGAATTATTTTCCAAGAGCGGAATTTTCATTAGAAAATTCAATTACAAATTTTCAGTTAGAAATATAAAAAACCGAATACTCAATTTATTCGTTATTCGCTCTTTAATCTTTAGTCTTTTAGAGTGTACCTTGAATTATTAATGACAAATAATTGGTAGGTAGGTAACTAACACAGTACAAGCTAAATATATTTGTTGTAAAAACATGAGGAACATCACGTAGTATGACATGAAAACAAACATATACTCCATATCTTATAGCACAGCATTTCTCTTATTCCCACTAAATTAAATATTTCTAGCGCTAGTATCTTTTATCTTTATCTTCATCTTTGTAGGTTATAAGCAGGTAGGGTTAGGTTTGGCCCAGAACACTGCGGCCTCTTGGGTCTATTGTATTCCCCAGCTTTCCCCGTATTCAGGTACTATCTTTGGAATATTTCTGTGTTTTTGGTTAGTTTTAATCAATTCCCTACCAAGTGTTCCTGGTTCTAGCACTAGTATAATGATCGCAAATTTGGCACGAACACAACATACAAAAACTAATAACGGCACATAGCCGCTCGCGCCTTACACTCCGCTTCCGAATTTTCAACAGTCAATTAAACACTCCAGTTTCAAATGTTCAACAAAAAGATGCCTCGGAGTCGGCATGTCCAAAATTTCACTTATATTTCACTAATATTTTTCGCTTCCTAAAAAACATTAAGGTAATTTTCATTAGTAAAAAAATTGTTTCATTTGTATTTAACACATTTTTCTTGGCTAACTAAAGGAATTAAAAACAAATCTGACACGACTCGTTTGAATTCTCGCGTTTATCTTCCTTGATTATTATTTGTATTGCTACTCATTAAGCGTATCTGTGAGAAATCTATAATACCAATTGGTTTGGAAAATTCACTTCTCGTTAGCCAATGCCTTATTAAATTACATTTACTGCTCGACTAAATCCTGGATAAGCCTGGATGAAATGTTGGCATTAAGAAAATCTAACTGATTGATTTGAATTTTGAGATTTTTAGTAAGTAATTTTTGTTAAAAATAAAATAATATTGTAAGGATTGTAACGTACGAATTAATTTATTTATTACTTAGGCACTAATTTATTTATTATTATTTATATTTTCTATACAACACTTCCATTGAAACTTAGCGTCGACCGACAAAGTCGCGCTATTTATATAAAGCCAGTTCTGCTTCAGTACATTCTCGGCGATCTAGAATACATTGGAATTCTTCCTCTGTGAGTCAGCCGGCGCATTTGTCTCTCTTGCGGTTTTGAAACATGGACCAAGCATCTTGAAACGGTGAGAGGAACAGGGTTGGCTTTAGGTTGTTACACGACATTGCCTTCTTCTTAAGAGATAGTTCCTTCTGGAACTGTTACTAAAACTACATAGTTGTATTTACAACTGAGCCTTCTTTTACAATTTCTATTTGTATGGAAATAATAATGGCGGGCCCCGAGTCAAGAATACTGACAAGGGCGCCTTATATAACTTTGGTTGGCAGATTTGCGGAAAATAGCGGTGCATTTTTATAAAAATCAAGTCCTTTCTCTGTTAAATTTCTAAAGAAAAGAAGGTCTTCAGCAAAATCAGATACTTTCTTGGTGAAATCTAAAAAACAAAGGTCATCAGCTTGTATTTTTCATAAACCAGGTCCTCCCTTCTGTGGAAACTTCTAAAAAAAAGGTTTCAACTGCTAAAGTTGCCGGGCTCCCTTGTGCGCGGGCCCCGGAGATTGTGCCCTTCCCTGCCCCCCTCTACTCGAGCCAGCGAATGGCTGCAAACCAGTATTTAAACTTTAGTATATTGGACGATTATTTCCAACCTTTTTTTAATGATTCTCCAATTTAGCTGGTTGCTTTCTATCTTGGACATGGCCATGGTTACTTTCTGTACATTGGACTCCAATACGTGCTCCCTCAGACTAAGTAATGCTTCCCATACATCATGATAAGTGGATCGATCTTGGAAAGCGTTCTTTGTTACCAAATACCATTTTGAAGTTTCAATGCTTTTCCAAGGGCTGGTTACTGATCTTGAAGTTCTGGCAATCGACCACACTTCTTCTGGAACACAGATGCTAAACCTCGAGGTCGTTGGTGTTGGCGGAAGTGCTATGGAGCAGCGAGTAGGTCTTTAGGAACCGTGAGCAGATCCTGTAACACCACATCTTGCTTTTCCATTACCTCCATATGCCCTTATAAATTCTTTAAAGACTAAAGACAAGGTCAGGTGGTTCTTGAAGCTGATTTACTTCTTCTTCGTCATAATCACCCTCTAATGGCGCCAGCCAGTTTTGGTGAACTACCTTCGGTAAATTACATCGTTAATTTTTTTCTTGATGAGCTAAAGACGTTCGCAAGATCTTTGAAGCTTCTTGAATAACCTTTTTGTCTTTTTGGAGCCAAACTTTGTTGCCTTTCATGAAACATTCTTCTGTGGCTTAGGTATCGCATTGCTTCTTCATTCTGTCACTGGTGATTTGAAGATGCAAGCGAACTAACTCATGCATGTCGTCTATTTTTCATCGTAGCTGGATCACATAATCTTCACCGTCTATATCTTCTCCAGTTCGACATCCAAACTTGAGGTCACACAGTAGTCTCATGTCACGCTAGAACAGCACATTTGCTGGTGTTTAGTCTGTAGATTCATTTTTGACAGATATTTGCCAATGGTCTTATTCTTTCGCTCTACCATTCCATCTGACTCTGGGTGCAATACCGTAGTGCTGGTTTTCTTCATGTCTGGTCTCTCACAGATTCCTCGAAAAAGCTGACTTTCGAAATTTCTGCCTTAGTCACTGTGGATCTCCAAGGGCGCTCGAAATCTACTGACATTTTTTTTTATTAACACGTCTGCGACAGTTGCGATCTCTTGATTTGGAATGGCGTAAACTTCCACCCACTTTGTGAAATAATCCACAATTACTATTATGTATTTATTACCCTCCTCGGTCATGAGGAATGGTCCAGTAATATCTAAGACAATCCTCTCGAATAGGATACAGACGATGTACTGCTTCATGGGGGCCTTCTTTTTTCGTTGAGGTTCAGTACTCATACCATTATACATCAGGTTTTTTACATTATCGGAACTGAACTGAAGGGTTTTCTTAACACCGAGTTGTCTTCCTGATGGACTGTCGTGTAACTGACGACAACTTCAACTACTTTAGTTTTTGAAATAATCAATTGTCTTCTGGTTTCAGAACTATCATCAATTTCTTGTACTCGCTTTAATAAGCCTTCTTCTAGAATAAAAGAGTCCCACTGAGCCCAATATGACTTACCTACTGGCAAGAGTTTAGATACTTCTTGTTAAGTGGGTCGACGACTTCCCTCTTTCCATTGTCGCATCTTCTTTAAAACAGGATCGTTCTCTTATTCTTCCCCAAGTTTGACAGGCGCCCACTCATCGTTGACAACCGTTGTTCGTCGTACTGTATCTTCTTTAGCAGTTGTGGCCAATCTTCATTGCATTTCGAAGGTTTCACCATGACAGGAGTTTCTTTCTCTACAGTTTCTTGCAACCGCGTTAGTCTTATCTATCAGGCACCACCGTTCCTACCTTTACAGCAACCGGTACGGCTTTTTGATTCGTAATGTTTTTTGGGCGTTTGCGTGAACTGCTTTATATAAATAAAAATTTCTTTGATATTTTCGGTCAAAAATAGAATTTCATCTTTCTATTTCACATCGTGTGAATTGTATTTTCTGCAACATATATAGTTCTTGAAGTATAAAAAAATTAAAATTATTTGACCGAAAAAAGAAAAGGTATTATTGATATAAAATTCTACTTTAGTCAGGAAATTTATTCCTAAAACTCTTTCATCTTTTGTCACAAGCTCCCGAACTATTATTTATTGAATGTGTACAAACCTGACGCTGCCATGTAAGTGGCACCCGTACTCTTGATTTTTTCGATGTATTTGAATTGATCCTGGGATAGTAATTCATCGAAATCGGCTATGATCTCATTGAGGAGCCTCAGACATTCCACCCCTTCGTTGTTGGCTTCTAGTTCTACGTAAAATTCGGAAAAATTGGGAATTGAGGCGAACATTATGCACACGAAATCGCATTGTTCGTGATATAGTTCCTGTAAAATAAAAAAATAAATGATTTTCACGTAATATATTTTATATAAATTATTATTTAATATTAATATAGATCTAGAATTATTCATGTGAATCATATATCGGCCAACGAATACTTTCTAATATCCTTTAGCACAAGTACGTGTGAAAACTATAGAGAAGCAGCATTAGAGCAAGCAGGAAAGAAACAAAACCAACGTTGCTATTTGAGGGGCCTAGTATCAAAACCGGCAATATCCCACTTTCATAGTTTAGAGATATTTACGAATAACTACTGCTGCCTTATTATTTATGCTAGATAGTTCTGTTACTTAGAACTGACAAGGTTTTTCCAAAATATAATACAAAAATATGGAGATTGCCGGTTTTGTTCCTAGAGGTAGGACATTGCCGGTTTTGATACCGAAATGTATAAATAGACCCGAGAAAAAAGGCAATGAAAGACGAAGTGAGTGCCAAACTAAAACTGTATTTTTCTTTAGGTAACATAGTAGAAAATAATATCAAAAATTAAACCAATACAAATGGAATCTCTGCAATGAATTCGCAAGAGGGTTCATCATCAACAAGTTGATTAGCTTCTCTGTCTTGGGTTTCCTCCGACTCTTCAGGATTTTCTGTGTGGCTCTCCAACATTTCCTCGCTGGGAACGATATCATTATAAAACATCAGTTCATCTAGATTTCTCCACTTTTTGCCAAAGTGTTTGGTCAGCAATTTGTTCACGTCATTTAACTTCAGACTGTTGACCTGAGGCAGGCCGGCGTTGATTAGATCTGGTTTAATCATGCCAATTGGTTTTCCTTTTTTTGTGAATCCCTTAAAGGTTTGCAAGTCTCTCCTATAATGGATTTCACCTCTTATTAAAATATTTCCAGGCTGGCATCTCTTCAGATAAAATCGTTTCGTATTTTTAAATTGGAAGTGCCATGATCCTGGGGGTTTCAGTACCTCTTTAACGCTTTTTTTCCAGTCGTAAACAGTACAGTCTGTACCTAAACGATTGGGAGTCGCAATTTTTGAATAGATTTCAATGTAGGTGTCAGGTTTGGTTATTACTTCCAGTTTTTTAATGTTCTTTTCGATGTGACCAAACACCCTGTCTGCTGGAAGAAAGGAATGCCCCACTACGGGAAAGATGACTTCCAAATTCTTAATATTTAACGGGGCATTATTTGCTAGCCATTTGGAGCACATCCCTATAAGAGTGCTATTCTTGTTTTGGCCGCTACATCCATCTGCCATAAGCCTAACCGTGGTATGGTGAGGGCCAAACTCAATTTTTTTCAGTCTATCATATACTGCTGATGAAACCTCATTGGAACTTTTTGCGAACTCATTTTCGGTCCAGTAGTACGAAAAAACATTTTCTGGATTAAGCTTGGATTTTGATGTACCTTCTACAATCGTAAAGTTGTAGAGGTACAACTGCCTTGAATAATAGGCTGTTTGGTCTGGCACCTTTGGTAGAACTAAGTTCTTCTCGCAATCGAAAGATATGGTTACCATATCATCTCTAGCTTCTTTAAGTAGATTGAAAAAAGCAGCTGCTCTCAGTTTGTGAATTTTTTTGTCTGTTGAAAGCTTTTTCTTTTCTTCTTCATCTTCGCAACGTTTGATTCTTTCAGCCAATTCAAGGCACGTGGAACACACGTCAGTTCGCGGTGTTGTGAAACTCAAATTATACTTTGTGTTGAAAATTGTTCGAAAATACGACAATTTTACTTTTTCTTCTGGACTGCACTGCTGATCATACATGGTGTGCATTTTTTGTATCGATAAATCTGAAGGAAGGTATAGTCTTTTTGTACTGGAGCGGCAATAGTGTGATTCAATGCACTTGAAACTATTGATGAACTGTTGAACCGCCGCTTGTTTGTCTTCGTATTTAGGATTTTTTCGATCTCCACCTCTTTTTTCTATTGGTGCTTGACCACTGGAAGTAAACCTCTTCATGACGTGGCTCACACGATGTTTTGTAATATCAAGTATGTTTAAAAAAGCCGACTGGCATACGGGAACGTTCGCTTTTGAGGAATAATTTCTCACAAAACATTTTACATGGGTAACTTTGGCTTCTCGTGTTGCATTTTTCGGACGGCGACGTTTGCACACATCAACAGAACAATGCTTTAGCATGAACGAGTCTTGCAATAGCTTGTTTTTTGTCGCATAAAATGCTTCATGAAAGTCTTTAACTTCCTTCATGGTTAACGAAGAACACTGAAAAGCCTTCGTTTTGTGACCACATGTTGGATATTGTGGCAACTGTTTTGCAGAATATCTGCAAAGAAGACTAGACAATACAACTCTATTATCAGTATGAAAAGAAAGAAAATACCTGAGCTTCTTGCGAACATTACATTTCCATGTGACTGGATCACGTTTTCTTTTACGGGCCTTACCCGGCTCAGCAGGAGATGCATTCACTTCCATTAGGTTCTCAGGCAAAACTCAACAATCAACACAAGATTTAACAGGATGAACAACCACAATGGACTAAACGAAAGCAACAAGCATAATAGGTATTTGCTATTTAAATGCTATTTCATGTGATCAGCTGATCACATGTCGCGATTCTGATTGGGTGGCATGGAGTTTGCCGATTTTGATTCTGAAAGTCATATGGAGATTGCCGGTTTTGATTCTGATGAGTAGTTTCCAAACTAAATTTATATGGGATAAAACCGTTTTTGTTACCAACTAGAAACATATTCCAATAGTGCACAACGAGACGAAAAAACTGCTATATGCAACACATTTTACTGAAATTTGGAGATGGCCGGTTTTGATACTAGGCCCCTCATTTATACGACCCGACCCGTTCGCCAGGCCGAATAGGCTGGCATCGCTGGTTCCAGTGTTGCCAGTCTAGTACAATTGTACTAGATCTAGTACATTCTCTGAGAATCTGGTACTCTAGTACACTTAAAGAAAAATCTACTACTTTCTTTTTTCAGCGTATGCTTCCGTTTGACGTGTAAAATATATTACGTATTCCAACGACCTGTCAAGTGGAGACTAACAAGGTTCTTTCGTTCGCAGTAGTGTCCACCAGTGTAAATTACACCAGTTACACCACCTTATTTACCCTAATTTACTTCCTCCTTATTCCTTATACACATGTCGAGTGTAATTCACTCCTGCTTAATAGCTGGTGGAGAAAATATCCACCAGTGTACACCACATCGCCGACAGGAAGGTATAGTGGGTTTTACACCGGGCCAAACGAAAGGTATGGTGTGCGTTGGTGCAGTTCATTACTACACCAGTGGGACGAACGAAAGAACCTACAGTTTAGATATGGCAACCCAATGGCCTGCTGCTATTTACAGGGTCAATGATACATATTATAGTTGTTGCTCGAGTACATAACCTAAAAAAGCTGTTGCTATTGTTAGAAAAAAAATTGTAACTCCAATTATTCATTTTTTAATTATGTTAGATGAACTAATAGATTCCTCGTCCAATATGGATATAAATACAAATATTTTACATCTCGACAAATATGGGCAATCCTTTCATTTATTTTGATAAATATGGATAATCAATCTATATAACTATCTATATCATTGACCCTGTCAATTTACCAAGCCCACAAGGTTGCCATATCATATACTGTCAAAACCCACTGGCAGCCATTTTGATTGGAATGCATAATTGTTGGGGTCTTCCTTGTTTTTTGTGTCCTTTTTTTTTGCTCTTTAATGACCACACTTCACAATTCAAAATATCTAGTACATTTGATAGAATTTGGTAAATTTTTATGGAATCTGGTACATTTTTTAGACAAATCTGGTACGTAAGAAAAATATATTCTGGCAACACTGGCTGGTTCTGTTACTTGCAATAATTTCTGCTGAGATATTTTTTAATGACATTTTTAACTCACCGCTGTTTTTACAGTCAATACACTAGGGATGGGCAAAACTGCTATTTTTAAATAACAGTTATAACAGTAACTGCTTTTTCTAAAAAGCAGCTTTCAAATAGCTGCTTTTTAATAGCAGTTTATTAAATCATCGCAACATGTAGTTCGACTATGCTTAAGTGTTTACCGGTATTTCATTATTTACTAGTCGATCGGTAATCGCGTTCAAATCTGTTAAGCTGTCTTATAATGTCGAGTTAAATATCAACCTGTGCCGGTGGTTCCCCAAATTGTCAGAATAAATCGACGACAACGGGAATGGTAACAATTAAAAAATTAGTCTTTGTATGCCATCACGTCCTCTCTGAGGTAAGTTTTGTGTTGTGAGTTATTTTCTTAAAACAAATTTATTTGCTGAAAATATTTGTAAGAGGGCACAGCATTTTTGGTCTAACCATAACTGTTATTGTACAGAAAAACATAAACATCCGTAGTGCACGTATAAAATACGACATTCGCATCAGCAACTTGCCATTGTCATCGTCGCATCACGCGCACCATGCACTCACAACATAGTCACAAAGATCGGCGTATCTCAAATTGAAATATTAGTGAAAATGGTAAACTGTTATTTAAGAAGCAGCGATTTGTAATAGCCGATAGCAGTTGAAAGCTGCTTAGTTCAAATAACAGTTGTCAAATAGCAGTTTACTAAAAAGCAACCCATCTCTACAATACACTGCAGCCAGATAATAACAAATGGTCTAGTGCTGGCTTTTTGTATTTTTCACACGCACTTGTGACAAGAGATATTAGAAGGTTTCATATAAATTACAAGTTATAAAAGTAATTTTATAAAACCGACTTCAAAATCATGCAGATGTCATTACCAGATCTTGTCCAAATTTATATGGGACCATTCCTGAAGTACCTCCTTTCTAACAAAATAAGAATTATTAAAATCGGATATACAAAAAAAATATTCCGACGAATTGGGAACCTCCTCCTTTTTTGAAGTAGATTAAAAATAGTGTTTTAATATAAAAGTCTACATAACTCATTTAATAAATCATTGAACAACCACGAATTTATTGTCATTTAACAATTAAATCAAGCAACTAGCAGTGGCGG